TACATATATCGGTGAATGTATCATAAATATAAATTGGTCTCCATACAAATATTAATGTTTACATTCCTGTTATAAGTCATTGTATTCTGACTTAGCTTTGATAATGCACAGCATAGCATTTCCTTCAGGCGGTATTCAAATAAATTACAGTTCCTATACATGCTAATTTATTACACGGCAGATTTTGGATTCACTTGGTTTTACCCAAAATCTAGGGCGAGCATATAGCCTCCCTGCTCTACAAGTTAGCACTTGAAGGAAGGGAAATAAACAAGAGGAACGTTTGGCACATCTCAGTTACGACATCTCACTATAAATCAGCGCTTTGGGACGTCCTCCCGACGTGAAAGGCGCTCTATAAATGTAATTTTGTTGTTGTTGGTTGTTGTTGCATCATCTTCGAGATTTCAAAGGTGGTCCCAAAAATGATGCATTTCAACTGCTTTATCAGTTCTTGAGATTTCTTTGGGACAAATTCCCTTAAGTCCTCGACACCCCCCCCCCCCCCCCACCACCTATAGTACGCTTCTGCGCTGAATGTATAAGGCATCTGCATCCATCTCTCCTAGCCTGGAGCCTGACATAGTTTCAGCAGTGGATATGATCTCACTTGAGATCAAGTCACTTTATGATCCCCATTATGAGATGAAAAGGAGTGCAACTTTAGAGAATCAAAGTGGAGCTCACTATTGACAATGGTGTTCCAGGATGATTCTGGCTGCCTCAGTCTAGCTTATTTTACACATTTGTTGTCAAATCCTAGCCAAAATTGCTACAATTTACCTCCAAAACATGCAGAACAAATGCATAAATTGATTTAATCTGACTATCACAAAAGACAACCGTGTTAACACTGGAGGTAAGTGCGTGATTCCAGAGCTGGTTTTGTTGTAACAATGGTTTTTATAACCTGTTTTACCAAGTAAATGTATTAGGAAACATTGTTTGCGTTCCTACCAGAAAACTTCAAATGTAACTGACGCTGGCAGCCAGCTGCATTTATAAATCTGATTTATTCACAACTACCTACAGGCCATTGAAACATATTAGGTGGCTTGTGGATTAACCTGGTTCATAAACACTGCACCAACTGGTAAGAGCCTGTTTTTTTATTATCTAATATGTAGCCAATCTGAGAGCAAAGTCTTTGTTGACATATGAGCTCTGTTTCAAAACACCTATTTGATCAAACATCCTCCCTCCCCAATTGTCAAGTTTACCCCAAGCGCCTCTTCTCCATCACCAACCAGCTCCTCCTCCCACTCTCTCACGCCTCACCCATCATCGCCTCACCCATCATCACTTCAAATGCCAACTGCGAGGTGATGCTGGACTTCCTTGAATCCAAAGTTGAGGGGATCCACTCAGCTGCCTCTGTCATTCCATCTGCTACACTCTCCTCATCTCCCCCTCCCAACCCGGCCCCTACCCATCCCTCCCTCCACACCTCCGAACCTGTCTCCCACTCCTCTCTCACCACCACTATAACCTGCATGAAACTGACCACCTGCTCTCTCGACCCTCTCACTACCCCTCTCCTTACATCCCAGCTCCATCTCCTTCTTCCTCTACTCACAGACATGATAAACCTCTCCCTGTTTACTGGCACTGTTCTCACCCCATTAAAAATGGCCATCATCACTCCATAAAAAATCCTCCCTGGACCAATCTCTCAAGCTACCGGCCCACCTCCAACCTCCCCTTCCTCTCCAAGGTCCTGGAACGAGTTGTGCTTCCCAGCTTTACTCCTTCCTCTCTCGCCACTCTCTTCTCAAACCCCTCCAATCGAGTTTCTGTGCCGCCCACAGCACAGAAACTGCTCTGGTCAAAGTTACAGACATTCTGTCCGTCTGCGACCAGGGCTCCCTCTACCTCATCCTCCTTGACCTCCTCGCTGCCTTCGATACCATCAATCACTCTATCCTCATCCGCCGCCTCTCCTCTCACCTCAACCTTCACGGCTCTGTCCTTGACTGGTTCAGATTGTATCTCTCACACCGCTTCCAGTTCATCTCCACAAATAGTTTCTCCTCCAGCCCCTGGACCGTCTCGTGTTGCGTTCCTCAGGGCTCTGTCCTTGGTCCCCTCCTCTTCAATAAATATATGCTCCCACTTGGTGACATTATCCGCAGACATGGGATCAAATTCCACATATATGCGGATGACATCCAACTCTACCTCTCTGCCTCCACCCTTGACTCCAGGACCACTGCTATCCTGGCAGAATCTCTGTCAGACATCAAGTCCGAGGTGAGAGCTAACTGTCTTCAGTTGAACATCAACAAGACCAAGGGCCTCCTGATTGGCTCCTGTCAGCACCTCCTCACCTCAGGCACTGACAGCATCACCATCCATGGTTGCACACTCCACCTTACTAAACCAGTCCGGAGTCTTGGCATCTTGTTTGACCCTCAACTATCCTTTCTACCCCTCATCAGTGCTATGATCCGCAATGCCTTCCCCCACCTTCCGCAACATTGCCTGGCTCCGACGAAACCCTCATACACACATTCATTACATCGAGGCTTGACTATGCAAATACCTTGCTCGTTGGCCTCCCCAACTCCTCCCTCCATAGGCTGCATATCATCCAAAACTCTGCAGCCCGTGTCCTCTTCTGCACCAGGCTCCGTGACCCTATCACCATCGTCTTCCCCAACTCCACTGGCTTCCCATCACACAGAGGATACAGTTCAAGGTCCTCACCTTCAAAGCCCTCCATGGCCTTGCTCCCCCCTACCTCTGCGACCTCCTAAAGCCCTACCATCCTGTTCGCTCCCTCCTCTCAACGGGCTCCGGCCTGCTCATGTCCCCTGCCTCGCTCGCTCCAATATTGGCGGGCAGGTCTTCTGTCACTCTGCCCTCACCCTCTGGAATTCTATCCTGCAATCCCTCCAACTCGCCCCATTCCTTGCCTCCTTCAAGACTCATCTCAAGACCTTCTTCTTCGACTGCTTTCAATCACCCTGCTTCCCTCCCTGCCCTCCACCCTCCCCGATCCTGACCCCCGAATCAGGTCCGAAGCTCTGTCTGTCCAGCGCATTGGGACGTCCTCCCACCATGAAAGGTGCTATACAAATGTAATTTTGCTGCTGCTATTGTTTATCCACCTGACAAGCTAATTTGTCTATCAGCTGTGAGTGTATTTTTTCTATGAAGAGCTTGACGGGTATAGAGATGGTGAGAGAGAGACCTGTGAGCTGGCTGCTTTAAAGTTGAATTTATCTTAAAAGATCAATTCAGATTATGAGAGAAACTGATCTGCATTGTGAATGATTCAATTTCTATGCAATCTCTTGTACTAAATCACTATTGTTTACACTACTGCAGATCCTAGACCTTTGGAATTGAATGCCACAAGTACAGAGCAGAGAGGCTGTAGCAGTGACATCAAATCCCCACACTGTTCTCTTGTTGCCTAGAGAAACCTGAGAGATCAAAGGGTTCCTCTGGCATTAGCCTCAGTCTGTGTTTACATTGGTAAATTGCCAGCATTTTAAAAGAATGAAACCCACATTTGCCTGGCAGTGTAAACACAGCCTTAGTTTCAATAGAAATGTATTCTATTGAATTCTATTTTGTTGGGAGATTAAGAAAAAACTCTCATCTCTTATCTTAGTCATTTGCTCTATAACATAAATCCAGCTAGTTGTTTGGATAACAATGTTCATCTTAAGTAAAGAGTATATACTGTACAATAAGTAATCAAGCTCCTGGTTGTCATCAATTTTGTTTTATTCGACCAAGTAGCTGACGTGCAGAAACCATAGTTTTCCCACGCGCTGCATTGCTTCTACAACCAAGTATCTGTCACTTTTAAACATCCATATTGATTCCACCCATACAGCTTTGTGGTGTAGAGCATTCCACATCTTCATGAACAACTTTGTGAAGAAATGCTCCCTGACCTGCTACTTCTGGTTTTATGGAATTTCCACCTTGTAATGGCTGCTTTGTTATCAGATTTTTACTTTCAAATACTGATTTTCAATATTTAAAGAGGAAATGGACTCCACTAATAAGTTATTCCATGTTCTAACAAAAAAAACGTGCTTAAAAGTATCCAAACCATACAGAGTCCCACATATCTTTGTCACAAACACATGGAAATTCCCCTTTGTCTGGAATGCAATGCGCACTCACTCCATGGAGGGATTCACCCTGCTTATCTAATTCTGGATAGTATTAGGTACACGTTGCCAAGAGCCAAGGCTTAGAGATTGCACAGTGCGTTGTGTACATCTGGAGTTTAACCAGCTAATCCCACATAACTTGCAATGTGCACTTTTCCTTGTGCGCCAGTCATCCTTCTGGATGATTCAGAGTGTTCCTTGTGTAGGAATATTGGGAGATTTTTGTGCTGTGGGTCAGCGTTCAATAATTGGGGTGAGATTGATCAAGCTTGTTTCAAAGAGGAACCTGACAGCTGGCAGGTAGAAGACTTTCAGTCCGACAGAATTGAGAGCTGGGTATTTGTCTCAAATGGAGCACATTCACTCTTGTGCCACTCAGTCTCGCAGTAATCTATGTTTCAGAGTGCAAGTTCTCAACTGCACTTGTGTTACAAAGGACACACCAGAAAATCATTACAAGGCAATTCTCGAGGATGGCTTAAACTTCTCCAATAAAACAATATCACTTTTATGGTAGCACTGAGTTTTAAAGGGAAGTGAAAGCATCTTCTTGTCATTATGGGATAGGTCTAATCAAATGTATAAATATGATTTCATTTTTATTATACGATTACGCACATGTTTTCATTGCAAGCAAAAATTTCCATTACCTGTTTGAATGTGTTACTGGAAGATTTGAAGCTTCTGTAAATGAAATTGTGGATGCAGTTGGTTTTTAATCATAACTTTAATATCCAGTTCTCTGATCTGAAATTTTTAGCTCATTCTGACCTGTATATGAGTATAGAATGGTTTTGGTTATGGTAAATTTCACTGTAAGCCTGCAGAGCTGAATTTAACTCTTTTTTCCTCTCCTTTTAACCTCAGCTGTCGCACCAATAACCGGAAAAGCTTGATAGGAAACACTCAGTCTTCAGCTCTTCCTCGACCTCACTCGCCTCTCCCGACTCATTCAGGTAAGATATTACTAATTCAAGATGGTCCCCTTATAACTACTACATTGTGCTCCAAATATCTCAACTCGATTACTGAGTTGTCAGTGTGATTTCCATAGATTTTGACTAAACTGACCAGTAAAGATCAGAATATTTATATCCTGAGAGTGTGAAGGCATCGACCCTACTAATTCAGGCTTGCTTCTCACCCCCCCCCACCCATCATCTCTGCCCTCTGTCGATGAATGAGGTTTCAATCAGTTTTGCCCCTGCTCCTGCAATTCTTCCCCCTAAATGCCTCCAACTCACACCCACCCTCTCTCTTTCACTGTGCCTTTCTCCACCCATCTCCCTTTTGCTGAGGCCCCCACTCCGTCTCTGTGAAGAGTTTTGAGATGCATTCCTATGTGAAAGGTACTATACGAGTACAACATTATTGTTGTGCCATTATCCTATTTGCTTTTAATGACTGGTTTTATTCTACAGTTCATTTGGAATATTTATAAAATACTCATGGTCACATGTTGTAAATGCAATTAAGTGTTGACAAGCATCCTGACTGTTTTTGTAGGGATTAACTGCACTTGACTGTATGCTTCTGAAAATAACCATGAAAAAATCTGGAATATTTCATCTGGTAGAATGGCAGCATTTGGGGCTATAAATTTGCCATCTGGAATCTGTTCTGTTGTATTTTTGGATCATTTTGCATCATTGATCATTCTTTCGGTCACTGTTCCAGTGCATGCCGTTATCTAAAAGAAGTTTACGATTTTCTGTGATATTTTATGGCTTTGCAGGTTATGTTCAATTACATATAATGTCTTGCTCTATTTCACAAGGTGCTATGTGGCCCGGGATCATGGGTGGATGACCTTTTGGACATTCTGTTCCTGCTTGCTGGAACTCCAACCTCGACTCCCTTTGCCTTGCCTGCTCACTAACTAGCTTTGAGGCTCGTTTCAAGACCTTTCTTTTTGACTGCATGTTTGGTCACCATTGCTCTACCCCCCCCCCCCCCGCCACCCCTTCCATATTTCTCCATCAGCTGCCCCCACCCTCAGCTTGGATTCCCTACATGAAAGGTACTATATAAATGTAATATTGTTGTTGTTCTTTATTGTTGTTAATGTGCTCCTAAGCAAATCAAACTTTCTTAAAATTTAAGAAACAACAACAAAATTACATTTGTAAACCGCATTTCACGTCGGGAGGATGTCCCAAGGCGCTGAAGAAACATGAGAACCATTGTGTTATAGTAATCCTTTGGGTCATATTTTAACCAGTTCTGAAGCTGGCACTTCTAGGAAAAAGAGACAAGTGTAATGCCTCATTTAGGTCTAGAGTTGCAAAGTATGTTGCAAAGTTTCGCTGGACTGAAATCTAGGGGTCTGAAATTGTTGAAACTGATGGGAAAGTAGATCCAGTTAAGTCATAGAACGTTTGCTCTGGTAATTTTTCTCTATTTTATGTAACCCCACTCGCCTGTTCACTCCCCATATCCTTTTAAGATGCCTCTATTTCAAGCATCTATCTAATTTGTTTTAATAGAATATATGAAATCTTCACCTGAGTTGCAACCTGACCTATCTTGAGTTCAGGGATTCAGAGCAGAACACAGTAAGCCACTATCGAGAATAAATTGAACTGTGTAAGCAAGAAGCAGATAAAATAGAGCACCATTGTAACACGCTTTCTTGTAACGTGGGATGACTTATAGCACAATTAGAGTGTGGGTCTCGACATTCACTTGCAATAAAATCCAAAATGTGGGCAGAAGGCCAGCTGGTTTGATTTTTTAAAGAGAAGCCCACGCCTTGTGCACCAAAAAAGTGTCCCAACTTCTGGTCGCTGCTGGTGATGCCTGGAAGTCAGACATTTTAGCTCCCCATGTTAGCGGCTCATGTACTTACAAAAATAGACGAATTGCAGATCACAGGGTCGCTGCCAACATCCCTTTCCTCGTGCTGCGTTTACACCATCACTGAGCACGGAGAGCTGGCTGCAATGCAGGAAGCTCAGTGTGCAGCACATTGAATGCAGAAGCTCTGACTGGTGATTGTGTCTGTTACATAATGTTGGTTGGGAATTTATGGACCCCAAACTATTGCATTATAACAGACTGTACTGTTAGATGCTTGGGTGTTAGATAAGGGTTTTAAAGGATACGAGAGAAAAATCTAAAGTTAAGCAAAGTTCTAATAAAATGGATGAATAGGCTCAACATGCCAAATAACTCATTCCTGTTCCTCAATTCCAAACAGTATTCTTTTGCTCTCTCCCAAAAGTACTCTATAACATGAAGACATTGATCCAATGTGTGTGAAAATTAAGCATTTATCACTCCTAGAATATTCTTAAGGACATTGTGATTGGCCTCTAGGATGCCTTCATTGTATATAGGATTGTGCTGGATTTTTCTAACTTCCAGTATTGGTTTGTAGCAAATTGTGAGATATTTATATGGAATGTGCTGTATCAGATGTATACTTGCTAAATTCAACATTGTTGCAGAACTACTGTGAATTATGACATTGTTTAAAGTAACTGACTTGGGTACAGGATCATAAGGTTTTGTCACTAATAAACACTAGGAAGTCAGCAAGAAATATGCTTAGTACATACATATAATTTGTCTCAAATTAAGTAAATACAGATAATTTGCCTCTGAATTATCACTGAAACTGTTTCAGTACTAAAATACTTTAAAACTTCGCTTTCTCTCTGCTATTTTCTTTTATCTCTAATTTTTTAATGTTTTTTCTTGTGTGTTTATCAAAGTAAAGAATGTCATGACCTGAGGGATGAAACATTTATTTCTAGTTGTGTCTTGCAGTGTGTTTGCCTCAAGCACTACTGCCTGTGGTCAGAATACCATCATTAGTTTTAGAACAAAAGTTCTTCTACTTTGTTCCACGATTGTACGTTAGCCTCTAACCTTAACAAAGTACTTCCTGCCACTTGCATGGGAATAGTTCCATTTCCCACACATGTCATCCTTACAACCAATATTTCTAAATTATTCTCCAAGTAGACGCACATTTGTGTTTTCTCGCACCTTTATTGGTCGTGTAATTCCATGTTCTTGAGTTTTCACACTTGTCAGTGTATTCCTTTGTTTATCACGTGACATTCGAACCAACTATACACTGAAGAACTTTTCGTCTAAACAAAAGCTTTGCTTAACCTCTCACTGGATTTCTTACTGTTCAGCATTTACCTGAGAACTCAGGTTACGTAGACTCCAAAGCTTGCTCAATACCTCCTTATCACTATTAATCACTGTTAATAAGGAATGTGGAATATCAACATTCTGGGTTTTTCTCCTCATTTCCCTTTTAAAGGATCAATGTTGTGCTATTAAACTGAGGCTAAGCAATCCATGCACTCAAGCACAACCTCCAGGTTGTCTCCAAAAGTACTCCCCCAATCTACCCCTTTTCCCCAAAATCACTAGTGTTGGGTCGGTATAGTTGGTATCTTCCGTCAGAGTTGTATATTACTTACACCCAAACCAACTTGCTGAGGCAGCAATATTTACAATAGTCTTTACAGCTAATAGAAGAAGACTTGACATTCCCACCCAGGACTCAATTTCAACAAAAGGCGGGTGAAAGGAAAGGAAAGATAGCAAACTCACTGTACTACATGACTCACCTAATTGTGCAATTTTTTTAAAAGATAAATCCTTTTTCTAAACTCTCTCTCAAAATGAGTCCTAAAAGTATAAACCTTGTCATTTTAAAACAATTTATTTGGAAAATCCATCATTCCAGTTTTTAAAGCTGCTGCATTATGATAAGCTGATTGTGCATTGCAACAAGATGGAACTGCTTTAACCAGAGTTCAGGTCTTCTGGTCCAAATCTTTAGAATGTGCAAAACAGCATAATTGTCTGACCTTCAGCCACTGTGGAGGCAAAATGGTCTTGTCCCTGTTCATCAGCTGCTGTGTGATTTGTTATCTGGGTCGGTCTGATGCAGCTCTTGAGAATGAGCATCGTTCCATTTCTGTGGGACCATATTCACCCCATAGATTAGGGAGTGCAATCTTGAGATTTCGGGAGCACCATTACCCTATGAGATCCTTGATCTCATATGGTAATGCTTCTCCCGAAATCCCAGGATTGCAACCCCTACTGTGGATGCATGGATGATAACAATATTATTATTATCCAGTCACATAAAGACTCGGAAAGAAACACAACCGCTTCAGCTTGTATATCATACCAAGCCTGTAATCCATAGCAGTATGAATCAGACAGCAGCGGAAATGATGCAATATTGTCAGAGAAAAGCACCCAATTAAAGTAGCTTAAAAAACATACTATTTTGTGGAAAAGTGGTCACAAAGTCTTTATTGATGTCAGTGTTTACTGACTTTATTCTTACCCTACTCTCGCACGTCTGAACTTTGGAATTGTGTGGTTCATGCAGAAAATAACGTAACAAATACTGTGATTCTCAAGAAGTCCAGTCCAGTAAAAATTATACCTCATTTGGGACTTGATCAAATGCTTACCAGAAATTCTTCATTTATTTTCCTTCACTGCCCAATCAGAGAGTTATTTTGCTTTTTTTTAGGTAAAGATATATCCACAGTCCTTATATCCTTATTTTTGATCTTTACTCAAATCTAACTTGTCCTTTGGTGTCTGAAGCGCAGGTTTTATCCATCCATTTCATTATAAGTGGAGGCATTGCACACTACTGCCTCCGTATGGTCACTGCATGTCATCGTAGCTCTCTTAATTCCACACAAAACAGCAGAGACTAACACAGTTGACTGAAAAGAACCAGAATGCTTAGAGATAACAATTATTGTTTAAGTCGTTCCCCAAAAATTCTCTCAAGGGATTATAACAAAGAGAAAGGCAGGTGCTGTAAATATGAAATAAAACCAGAAATGCAAAGGAGATGGGTTTGCAATGCAGAAAAAGCAGAAATCTAGGTCTCGTTGAACATTTCAGTTGGGATGCTTCATCAGCACTTCTAAATGATCTGCTGTACGTTTCAGGCACA